TATTCTTTTCTCTTTCTAGTCTAGCAAATTTTCCTCTCCTCAGATAAGCTGAAGTATGTAGAACTTCGTATCTTCTCTTCAAAGAAGACACATTGATTCTGTGAATTTTATCTGATAATCAAGAAATTCTCTTTTCTTATCTCTTTCGCAGAGTATAAAGTCTTCATCCTTGTCCTTTAGGAATATGCCCTGAGAACTTTCACGAGTTATAAAATAGAAACGTAAAGGTTTTTTAAGGTTTTGCTTTGCTTTATTTATGTCTACTGACTTGAGTTCTATTCATTAAAGCTCTTATTTGTACATACAAGTAAGTTATTTTACTAATAGTAGCCTGCTAGCTCCCTCAACCTTACACTAGACTTCTACCAACTTCCAATAAACTATAAAAAGATCACTATGAAAGAATATATGACAATTCCTCACTCACCACTATCATTCCCCTTGTTACTGGCCTATTTCCTGCTTCTAATTACATTGAGCTTTTGGGTGCATTTGACATTAATCTGCCTAGAAACAGGTTGTTCGAACAAATGACATATTGTTGTCCCTTGTAGTTCTATAAATCTAAATTTTAATAACCGTCATCATCCACTTTGTTAAGAAATGGTAGTGATTAAATTGTAGGAATGACGGGACTATCAAGAGTGGCAGCATGGCTGTTTCTCTATTCAGTAAAGCTGGTGTTTTGTCATGATGATGACCTTGTGATTACATATATTCTACAAAATGATAACATTGAACTGTTTCCTGGCATCAAAATCAGATCTTGAGCAGAAAAGAAATATGTTTTGAGAAATATTATCCTAACTATTCATTTACTATAGAATAATTTCTTCTAGCTTAAAGCATTTCTTGATATATATATAAATCCAAATATGGTATCTTCACTATACCTAATGTTGTGATATTTGTATAATAAATACTCTTCTATAGAGTTCACAGTATTTTGAGTAAATTATAATATTAATTACTTATCAGTGAAATGCTTAACTTGATACGGTACAGTAAATTTTATGCTAACATACATTTTTCACTGCCTACTGAGTTAGCTTTCTTATGGGATTATAGTATTAAATGTTTACATGTTTTCTTTTTAAAAAGTTATAATCATCCATGTTCATAGATATGTCTTTCTTAATGATTTATGATTATATTACCGAAGAAAATATAACTGCAATTTCTTCTAAACATAAATGTATCTTTCTGTGGAACTGCAATCAAAAAGTATTAAAAATAATCTGGTTCAGCATTACATTTTTCTTAGATATAATTTATTTATTTATTTATTTATTTTTAAAGATTTTATTTATTTATTTGAGAGAGAGAGAATGAGAGATAGCATGAGAGGGAAGAGGTTCAGAGGGAGAAGCAGACTTGATCAGCAGGGAGCCCGATGTGGGACTCGATCCTGGGACTCCAGGATCATGACCTGAGCCGAAGGCAGTCGCTTAACCAGCTGAGCCACCCAGGCGCCCAGATATAATTTATTTTTAATTACACATTTTGTAGAGCATTTAAAATAGAAAAGATAAATGAACAATACTAAGATCACTTAGATTGTGCCATTGGTTTTATTTAATAAATATAAGATCCAGTGGTACTAATAAGTCATTAATAGTGATGTTTTTAATTACCACAACAATATCTGCACTTGACCATCTTTGTATTCAGGCTCTCTCAAGATCCTGCAGTTTTAAAATTCTGTGAGCATCATTGTGTTATATTACTAAAGGATTTATATCCACTATACACCTGGAAGGGAACTAATAAATTATTAAAAGTACACAGAAAAAAAATGATAAAGTACTCAAGATAGGCATATATTTCCATCCTATAGGTATATCTACATGGAAGGCCAACATAGAATGATAAGATTTCTTTTAAGCATGGAATCAGACCAAGGGGAGTTAGTGGGATAATCTTGATAGCTTCTGTCATTCAGCCACTTTGTCTTGGTTCATCCAATTCCTGAAGGGAAAGACCTACTGCACATTCCAGAGAAAAATCCACAGGCAGGGACATCTGCTCCTGTGTACAATGTTGGAGCTTTACTGTAAAATGTGGATACTATTCTTTATCCCATTCCCTACCCTTTAAAAATATATCACCTGAAATCCATTAAAAGAATAGCAATTTATTAATTACCTTCTGAAATTTAACATGGTGTATCTTGACTATGCTCACTAGATTTACCCTACATGGACCAAAGAATTAAAAAATAACATAATAATAATAAAAAAATGACAACTTTCCACAGAATTATAAGAGAAAAAAATCTATCAAAATTTTTTTGTTTTGCTTTGTTTTGTTGTCTTTGTTGCAAACCTGAACCCCCTTCCTTCCATCATTGCAGCACAAAGAATGTAAGGGAACAGGAAAGTGGTGTTGGTAACACTTTCAGTAAGAGCAAGATGTATTTAAGATGAAGCAACAGTGCTTTCACTAATCTTTAAAAAAAGTACTACTCTTTCGCACTGTGAGAGTGGAGATTTCTCCTTACACAGTACCAATTTAAGTGCATGATGATTATGCTACTTGGATTCTGATAGTATAGTTTGAATTTAGCTTGTGCAAAAGAGTCTTAATCCATGACTGTTTAATCATATTTCATCAAAGCAAAATTTGCTGGTTGTTTAAATTACTTCATATTTCATAGACAAAATGGTGATCATATGTACATTTACACTTTTAGACATCACTCTAAGTCCATTTCTGTGGAAACTTTTTACAATAGAAGGCCTAGGGGGATTCCATATCAGGCCTAATTTGGATATCTGCAAAATCTGAATATCTGCACTTCAGAGCAGAATTAGTCTTCCAAACCTTATCAACATCAAATCATATGACCATTGATCTCCTAGAATGGCTAGCAAAAATTCTAACCAATAGTGATAGGCTGTAGCAATTCAAAGAGAACTTTGAGTTCAAGTCTGTCAGGCCACTTATTAGCTCTATGGCTTTAGGAGAGTTATTAATGTAGATAATAATAGCTACTGCTCTAGTAAGGGTTAATAATGGAATATATAGAAGAAATTAAAAAAAAAGATAGTTCCTACTTCTACTCTTTCACTATGTTCTTGGCCAGTTCAGATTGTCAGGGAACAAGGAACAGGATGTACGTCTGTTCAAAGAAAAATATATGTATTTTTGATCTCAATCCCTCAGCTCAGTAAATAAAGCAGATATAACTGAAATAAAATTTGCACAAAATAGTAGCTATCATGTGTCGTGCACTGTGTATTTTCTTCTGAATTCTAGTTCATCTCATTAAGAAGTAATAGTATTTGAAAACATTCCTCTAAACCATTTTAAATGAGGTTAGTGACTACAGTTAGAAGAAATAAACACATCTTGTTTTAGGATGAGGGATAACTTTTCCATCACCATATTCTCTTCTCTAGGATTAAGGCTATGCTTGGATATGGTCATCATATACTACCAAATCATTGCTATTCAGGAGGTATTAGCACTGAATCTAGAAGTAGCTTCTTGGACAGGCAATCAGCCAGGTGTTAAATGAAGACAGCAAAACTTGGAAACTCTCTCCAATTTTTAGTGAAGTAATCTTTTAACCAAAGGACCCTTATAAATGAATAATAGTACTAATGTATTGAAAACAATATAATAAGACAGGTGTAGATAGTATCTAGACATCTGAGACCTCGATTAACTTTGCTAAAGGTAGTCCAGACACATTGTTTTGAAGTTTTTTTATAATCAATAATTAGATTTGAGGAAGTAGTTTCCTTAATAGTCTGAAGTCTTATGAAACGTAACAGCTTTGTGTATATAGCCCTATTACACAGCAAAAAAGGAAATATGTGTGATTTATATTATGTTCCTTATCACAAGACACATTTAATTTAGGGAAAGATTAACATCTTGAAATGTTGATACAGTTTTAAAAATGTCTTCGTTTAAAATATATTATTTTAGTATGCATTAGTGTATGTTCAGAAGGCAAAGAGAATGGATCCTTTGAAAACATAATCGTGTCATGACATGTCACTCCTTGGTTCCAAACCTTCCTATTTCAGTCACAATGGAAGCCAGAGTCCTTACGATGGCTTCCAAGGTTTAGCCCCAATCACTTCTTCCCCACTCCATCTGCACCGCTTCACCTGCCTTCAACTCCTGTTGTTCTCTAACCATTTCATTCACCCTAGCCATTCTATTATGCACATGAGGCTCCCTCCCTTATCTCCTTCAGGTCTTTGCTCAAACTCAGTGAGGCCTTTCCTGTCCACCATTTTTTGATGAATGAATGGAAGAATGAATTGTAACTATTGCATAATAGGGTGTGTTTTAAAGATTTCATTTTTATTTATTTATTTGACAGAGAGAGGCAGCGAGAGAGGGAACACAAGCAGGGGTAGAGGGAGCCAGATGTGGGGCTCGATCCCAGCATTCTGGGATCATGACCTGAGCCGAAGGTAGACGCTTAACGACTGAGCCACCCAGGCGCCCCAATAGTGTGTGTTTTTAAATTGATTTCACAGGTAGAAATTATTACATGAATATCAGCATTGCTGATCTTAGCTATGCAGTATACAGCGGAAAGAATATCATATATAGGTTTTAAGGATTTCTAATTTCTGTATCTTCAGTTTTGGGGTAGCCAAACCAAATAGGTGGTTATGTTGCCACGTTAATGGCCGTGGTAATGGGGAGGAGGCCGGTGGGGATTTCTGTTTCTAGGGAGCATGACAGGTTAAAGTCGCACCATGATGTTCAAAATCCAAAGTATTGTATTTGTGGCTGCTTGACTCTTGGCAGTCCAGACCTAATCCGGTTTGGTAGTCAGCAAAGGAAGAAAACCGGCAGGATATTTTCTGGAATGATCTCCTGATGCAACTGTGTTTACAGCTTTCCTGTCAGCACCCAGAGCGAGCTTTATGGCCACCAGACTCGCAGCCTCTGATTAGTTCCCAGGCCCTGGGCTCTGGGAAGCAGCGCGGCGGGCTGAGGGGCTTCGCGGCTTCGCGGCTTCGCGGCGTCAGCTGGCGGCGTCCGGGCCGGGCCGCACACCCGCGCCCCGCAGTCCAGTAGACCCCCGCGGCAACAGGTGAGGCGCGGCCGAGCGCCAATCACACCGCCAGCGGGCCCGGCGTCCGCGCTCCGCGCTCTAGGCGGCGGCAAACTCGAAGAGGAGGGTCCCCGGCGGCTGCGCGGCGGCGGCGGAGGCGGCGGCGGCGGCGGCGCGGCGCTTTAGCCCTGCAGGAGCGACGGCACCGAGGCGGGAAGTCTTCCCGCACGGGGGCGCTGCCACCTGCGTGGGGGAGGAGCCAGAGGGGAACCGGGTTTTTCAGCCGCTCGAACGCACTGGAGTTGGGAGAATCCACCCTGACCATGAAGGGCGGCAAAGGCATCGAGAATCCGGCTTTCGTCGCCTCCAGCCCAGACACCCCGCACCGTTTGTTTGCATCGCCCTCTCACGTCGAGGTCTCTGACTTGTCCACCAATACCCAGAGACAGAATTCGCAGCCACAGGAACCTCAGAAGCCCCAGAAGTCACCGGAGCCACCCCGGCCTTCGGCGGATCCCGCTGTCTCCCAAGAGCTGTCCGTTCCAGAGCCGCTGAACGAGTTTGAGGAGGGACCCTGTGGGTGTGGGAACTTACAACCGCGGAGTCTCCAGCGCTGCAACACGCCCCAGGGCTTTCTGCTTTACTATTGCCTTTTGGCCCTCACGCAAGGTAATGGCCAGCGCCCGCTCGAGAGAGGACAGTGGCCCAGCGAGGGCGAGGAGGGGCGCGCGGAGCTGGTGGGGCGGAGAGGGCAGGTGCGCGCCGAGCCCGCACGGTAGACGCGCAGGGCGAGGCAGCCCTGGCCTGGGGACTTGCAAGCGCTCGCACACACGTCAGCTGGGTCAGGCATCCGCATTTTAGCTTTTCCTTTGTTGTAGCAACTTTTAAAACTTGCCATACGAGCTTTTCTCCCCCACCTCCTTTTTTTTCCTTTTGTGTTCTACCTCAGTTTACTCGTTTCGATTCCTTAAAGGACGGTGGAGATTCCTGGGGCCTTCCTTTGGGAACCGTTTACCCTGGGGGTATCCAATTCTGTGCTACGGAAGCATATATTTTGCTAAACTCCTTACTAAAGGGGTTTTTTTTTTTGGTTTTGTTTTTGTTTTTTTTTACATTGTTCTGGAAGGGAAGGATTAATTTGCAGGTGAGTTATGTAAGGTAATTCTCAAAGGAGAAACTTGCGGTTAGGTAGCAGCATTCATGTTTTGTGAGTATATTTAGTTTGCGTTGTGTGCAGGTACAGGTGGAGCCCAGTAAATGTTAGCAAAGGCTCGAGGCGTTGTTGAAGGGTGAGGCTTTTGAAACGCAGAGGAGTTGTGCAGTATCTGTTTTGTTCCAGGATCTCTTTTAGGGTCTCTTGGGAGTTACTGATAAAGTCCACGTTTATACCCTTAGGAGTTTGCAGTCTAAACCTGGTTTGGAGGAGTGAGTGGTAGAGTAGAGGAAGAATGGCTCCCAGGAAAGAAAGCATGGAGAAGGTAAAAGCTGTTGCTGTGTTGCCTAATGCAGGGGGTGAAAGAAACGGGAAGTTACGCTAAGGTGACAGACACATTGAGGAGAGGTGAGCATTAAGATGGAGCATCCTGAAGGAAATGCTGAAGGTTAGTTAGCATTTGATGGTATGTGATATTTTTTGGTCACTTGAGTCTTACTTTCAAAGTATTTTGTAAAGAGAACATCCAGGGCTGATTGAAAGAAGTGTAATCCAAGAAATATGTTTGAGGAGGGGGATCTTTTTTAAGATTAACAGAAGAGTAAATCTAAATATATTCTTTCTGTTCTTATTCCTGCTCCCCTATCTGAAAGGAACTCAGCGCCCCTTGCTTTTGCACATATTAGGTGTTCAGGAAGTAAGCATTGATTGAAGGTCAACTGCAGCTCTTCTGCCAAAGGTTGTTTTGTGCTAAAAATTTATTTCCATTTCCACGTTTCTTGTCCCCACCCAAGTTCGCCTTCTCTCAGTGTCTTGGTCTTAGTTGTCCAAAATCCATGATCAAACATTTCAGTGCCAAAGGAATGCAAAGTTCAAAGAAGGTGGACACAATTAAAATTTGTTTTATCTTAAAACATATTCTGAAATTTCTGTATTCCAGAACACATACATCTAATGTAAAATATTGTTTAAAATTATTAGCAAATATTATTGACACTCCTAAAAAGATGTGTCAGTTTTAGCCTAGAGCTACATCTACCCAGAGGTCCCCAATTTAAGAAGCATAATCCTAGATGAAGGTGACCCAATAAATTCTTGTTCAGTTTAAATCTGAATTATTACCATTTAAGTTTGAATTATTACCATGTTTCTCAGACATGATCCCTGGGAGGTCCTTTTCCATGGTATATTAAGAAGTGTTTGGGAAACACAAAAACAAAAACCCAAAACTTGTCAGGTTAGTTTACTTAGCCCAGAGTTTCTCTTAGCACTTAACCTCCTAATGTGCCTCCTGTTTTCATGTATGTATAATAGAGACATATAGTATGCAATATTTCATGAAATTTCCTTTTTTAAAGCAGAGTTCTTAGAACTTTTGTAGCATAGAATTCAGAGTGGTATTCATAGGCTTAATGTACTAAACCTCCACAAGAGTTTATAAATTTACTTTCTCAGAGAAGTACCAAAAAGACAATGAGTTTTCATGATTGACTTTTAATCAGTATGGCAAGTGTTTTGGGAAGTTGATTTTTTTGGGGGAGGTGGAGTTGATTTTTGGTTGGGGAAAGTTTCATATTCTCAGGTAGATTTATCTTATAAGCATGTCATTCCTAGGTACATTAGACACTTTACCTTTAACTTTTAAGAATTGTAAATTGTCTTTTGACTTATTAAACTGGCATAAAAGTAAAATCATGTTAGGACTTTTAAAACTTGTTATATCGATTTTCTTGAAATGTATTTCCAGTTAACAGTCTTGATAAAGCAAAATTTAAAGTGGTTGTAGAAATCATGTCTTGTGTATACTCTGTTAATTAATGAATGAGAACAATTCATGGTATCCTCTTAAGTAAAGGGAGTAACTAGTTACAAACTGTAATTTGATCAGATGCTTTTTATTTTCAACTTATACTAATGTTTAGACTCCTGTAAATTTAATCTGTATCTGGACAAAACGTTTTTGTTAAGTCAGTCACAATTAAATTTTCAACTTTTCCTTGTTTACCTTATATTCTTCCATCATAGTTGTAATAAACAGATGAAGTGTGTATTTTTTACTTTGCATTTGATTTAGAATGCCCGTAGTTGAAATGACTCTTAGTGTTTGTTTATTTTTGCTCTAGGACCTTTTAAATTATAACTTTAATGTCTATAAAAGTGTTAGAGGAAAAGAGGTTTGAGAGATCAATTTCACCTTTCATAAGACTAAGGCAAGGATCTCCAGTTATATATAAGTATGTTTAATAATTGAACAACCTGGGAAGCAATTGGGCATTACTTTAATGACCAGTGGAGTCACTTGTATTTTTGTATTCTTCTGAGTGAGGTCCATGAGTATGCTACTCTTGGAGTCTCTCTAGCGAACTGGCTTCATAAGAATTTACCAGTCTGATTTTCTGTTTGTCATATAGAGAAAAATGAAGTTAGCTACAATTTAGTATGTGGTAAGCATCGATTTTATTTAACAGCTGAAAAGTCACAAGTGTACCATTTAAAAGCAAACTGATTTTTAAGGAAGTATGTTTGAGTTGCTAGCTTTGAAACTTTGGGACTTTTAAAATTGGTGCATTAAAAAAATATCAAAATAAATGACAAACTTTAGTCACAACCAAACTTTAGTACATTGTGTTAAAAATCATAATCCATATGGTGAAGTTAATAAAAATCATGCACATACATTTTCTTTTCTCTCTTTTAGGTATTATAGTAAATGGCCTCGTAAATATTAGCATTTCCACTATTGAGAAGCGCTATGAAATGAAGAGTTCTCTGACGGGCCTGATATCATCAAGCTATGATATCTCCTTCTGTTTGTTATCTTTATTTGTGTCATTCTTTGGTGAAAGAGGCCACAAACCAAGATGGCTTGCATTTGCATCCTTTATGATAGGACTGGGAGCACTTGTATTTTCAATGCCAAAATTTTTTGGTGGAAAATACCAGTTGGGGTCCTTTTTTGAAGGTAAGTTTCTGTTGTGTTTTTGTTTGTTTTAATTTAAGAAGTACTCTAAAACAAGGCCCTTAATTCTATATTGCAACTCACTTGCACAGGTAAGGTAAGGACTTAGTCTCCTCCACTGTTTACTGTTTGTTTTGATGTGAATTGTGTGAAGTAGATTACAGAGATTGCATTATTCATTGCTTCAGTCATTATTCACATTATTAATCTTCTGATACTCATTCTCCAAATTACACACAGTCCTCAAAAAGCAATGATCAATTTTCCTTTGCACTTGTAACCTCATTGGGGTTCTAAGATCTATAGTTTTCCCCTTTGTGTGTGTGTGTGTTTTAAAGATACTATTTATTTATTTGACAGAAAGAGAGTGAGAGAGAGAGCACAAGAGGAGGGAGGGTCAGAGGGAGGAGCAGACTCCTTGCTGAGCAGGGAGTACAATGCCAGGATCCCTGGGACTCTGGGATCATGACCTGAGCCGAAGGCGAGCCGAAGGCAGACAATTAACCAACTGAGCCACCCAGCACCCCCCCAAGCCACCCCCGCCTTCTGGTTTTATTTGCTGTGCTTACAGCTCTGCACCCTGGACATGTTGATTCCTGATTCCTGAGATAAAGAGAGATGAAATTTATAGAACTGAAGCTGGCTGTATTTATGACTGTAGTTTAGAGATTCAGAACTTCATGAGTTACCTAACACGTTGCTCTGGTTAGTTGAAAAAAGTACATTATCCAAAGGCTCAAAAGGAAATCTGACTGTATTTCTACTTTTTTTTTCCTCCCAAGGAATCATTTTCAATGGAAAAACAATTATGGTAGAGCCAGAGGGATGTGCTAATGAGGACCTTAACATTTTTATTGTCTTTCCTGGGACTTTTAATAGCAAATGTTGAGAAAAAGAGGGCTATAAAATTAACTTTCAGGAGTTAGGTAAGTGAAGAAAAGGCTTAGGGTAAGAAGAAAGGAGAACTGGGGCCTGCTGCAATATAGGCATTATTTTTAAAAAGTTAAGCCCGTTACATTTGTGAGTTTTAATATTGAAAATTAATACTAAAGTGTTAACATTCCTAAGACCAAC